GTGTGTGTGTGTGTGTGTGTGTGTGTGCGCTGTGTGGAATGATGTTCAGCCATAAAGAAAGATGGAGACTTTACATCTTTTATATTTACCTGGGTGGATTTGGAGAATGTTCTAAGTAAAGTTTCTCAAGAATGGAAAAATAAGTATCTCATGTACTCAAAACTAGTTGTTGAAACTGTAGATCAACAACTACAGGCCCACACAGAGAAAAATACAATTAAATTCAAGAAGTAGGGAGGGGGAGGGAGGAAAGGGAGTAATTTTATACTGCACACAGCAAATGGATGGCTTGTGTTTTTAAGGGAGGAACGTTCCTTAGTACATTCCCACCTAGTGAGTACAAGGCAGGGGTATGTGGACAGTCCCTGGGTGAAGGTCTAAACTGCAAACGGACTTTACCTCACAAATGCAAACAACATAATCTCACCACATGTACCCTTGTATTAATCTCAAGTTAAAAAATAAATTATTGGTAAAATAAAAACCAAAAAATAAATTATCCAGAAATGTGTAGTATACTTTTAGAAACCTAACTACATTAAAAATATGGCTACATCAGCTAGAGCGGTGGTTCTCAACCTTCCTAATGACGTGATGTATTTTTATTGTCACAAAAGGATCGAGACCCACAGGTTGAGAACCGCTGAGCTAGAGGCTAAATGAGTTTATAGTGTTAGAAGCTTATACTTGGGAAGTGGTATTTTTGGTATAATTTCTAATTCCCAATCAACTAAAACAAAATAAGAAAGCAGCTCAGCACATTATCTAAATTCAATTTAATTTATTGCTTCTAGGCCTTTGGCTAAGACCAAGTGTAGTACCCAAATTCAATTTAATTCAGTGTAATTTATTGAGCAGTGATGAGGGGGGCAGTCCAAAACTGGCTACAAAACTCCCCTCTGGTAGCTCAGACTCTACAGTTCCAAACTATGCTCATGTAACTATAGTATGGAGTAAGATGAACTGTGAGAATAAAAAATAAATAAATAAAAGAATCTCTCCAGGAAAGCAGACTGACTATGCCCTAAGAAGCCATACAAGGTGGCATTAATTTGGAAAATATGTCAAAATCTGTTGAGTCTGTTTTTAACCTATTGAGTCTGTTTCTTAAACTGATAAATCCACAGAATACTGTATAAGCCCAGAATTATAAATTACTCATTCATAATGAAAATTTTAACATCTTAGGAGACTAGATACTTGTTGGTTATTCCAGCGAGGTCTTTCTTGGCATACTTGCCACATTTAGGAGACAAATTACAACCAGTTTATTTGGGAAACTTGAACTTAATCAGTAGATCTGAAGTTTAAAAAATCTTATAGATTCTAAGTATCAAGAGATACAAATGAATTCCTTTCTCCCTGGCCAATAAGTGTCCTTTGATGATCCACCTCCTTTCTTATGCAACAGCATTTTTTCTATTTCTGATCTGCAAATATTTTTAATCAGGTTATGGTGTGTTTGGTTTGGGGGCTCTTGTGTCTCTTTCAAGTGTCTGCACATTTCTTCCCTGAATCAGTTTGTCTTCATTGTAAAGTTTATACTCCAAATGGCCAGCTTATTTTCCTCTGGTGAAATTCATGATAGGAATAGTGAAGTGGGCCTTGGAGACCTTATTACAACCCAATGTGCTGGTGATATGGACCAGATCATTACAGCACCTGTATATGGTGCTAAGATGATCCATTAGAGAGGACTTCATCCAGAAAGTGAATTTTTGTCTAGCTTGACAACATAACAAAGCTAAGTTGAGTGGGAAGGAGATTTTAGCAGAGGGACACAAGCAGATTTTCTCTGAGCATTTAATCCAGGTATATAACTAATTTACAAAAGAGAAATTAGGTGAAGTATCAGATGATACCATCTGCCTAGCAGGTGGCACATTCTGTTTAGGTGGATATCCTGGAACCTGCAGAAAACAGTCAGTGAGAAGTTTAGTAAATTTCTAACAATAAACTTGAACTACTATCGGTGCCTTGTGTCCAGCCAGCTCTTTGTTGTTGTTTTATAGCTTCATGACATGTAATGGGTATACAATAAACTGGGTAAATTTAAAGTGTATAATTTGAAAACTTTTATTTATTACACACAAGCACATACACACACATGCACACAGAAGGTGCCAAAAAATGTATTTTAAGAAAGGAAAATATGGTCTTAAGATAGTGATGCTCAAATCACATCTGGCTTCTGAAATTACATATATAATATATCAAAGGTTATCAGTATATATTGAGTATTACAACTTTAATACGTTTTTTTTTCTTTCTTAAAATGTGTATACATTTTTTGGCACTCTCTGTGTTTATCACCACAATCAAGATGATGAATTTATCCATCATTTCCCCAAATTTCCCTCTGCCTTTTATAATTCTCCCTTCCTGCCCCACTCATCCATAGGCAACCGCTGGTCTTCTTTGTCATTATCCGATAGTGTGCATTTTCTAGAATTTCATATTGACAGAATCAAATGTACTCTGTGTCTGCTTCTTTCCCTCAGCATAATTACTTTAAAATTTGTTGTGCTATTGTGAATATCAATAGTTCATTTTCTTTTGGTCCTGAGTAGTAGTTTGTTGTATGGATGTGGCAGGCTTTACACATTCACCAATTGTTGAGTTATTTTCAGTTTTAGGGCTATTAAAAATGAAGTTGCTATGAATATTTGTGAGCATATCTTTGTACACATGCTTTCATTTCTCTTGGGTAAATTTCTGGGAGCATAACATTTCTCTTGGGTAAATTTCTGGGAGCATAACATTGGGCAAACTTTTAAAGAAACTGCCAAATTGTTTTCCAAAGGGGTTTTACCTTTTATTTTCCCACTAGCAATGTATAAATGTTTTCATTTCTCCACATCCTTTCCAATTCTCGTTACTATCTTTTTTAATATAGTCATTCTAGTGAATGTGAATCTTATGTTGGCTTTGATTTACATTTCCCTAATGACTAATGATGAACATTTTTTTCTTATGCTTGATTATTGTCCAGATATTTTTGGTGAAGTGTCTATTGCCCATTTTTTATTGAGTTGTTTGCTTTTTTTATTGTTACATTGGGGTAGTTTATATATTCTAAAGACAGATTTTTATTATATATGTACTTTGCAAATATTTTCTCCTAATCTGTAGATAGATTTTTCATTTTAGCAATAGTGTCTTTTGAAGACCAGAAATTTAAAATTTCGCTATAGTGAATACACATTATCAAATTTTTCTTTTATGGATTTTGTTTTGATGTCACATCTAAGAAATCATGGCTTAATCCAGGATTGCAGAAATACTCTATTTTTTTCCTAGAAGTTTTGTAGTTTTACATTTTTAGGCCAATGATCCATTTTGAGTTAACTTTTGCATATTATGTAGGTTATTGATCAAGATTTGTTTGTTTACTTACTTGTACACACAAGAATATGTCTAGTTATTCTAAAACTGTTGAGAACATTGTCCTTTTTCTGTTTAGTTGCTTTGGCACCTTTGCTGAAATTGAATGACTATATATATTTTTTGTGTCTACATCATTTTCTATTCTGTGTCACTGATTTGTTTTCCTTCAGACCGATATCATACTGACTTGTGGATTTGAAGCCATGGTCTTGAAACCATGTAGTCAAATCCTCTAACTTTGTCCTTATTTAAAATTGTTTTCATTATGCTAGGTTCTTTGTGTTTACACATACATTTTAGAATTCACTTGTGAATGTAGACAAAAATCCTGCTGGGTATTTGATTGGAGTTGCCCTGAGTATGTAGATCAATTTGTAGAGAATTGATAGCTTAAAAATATTGGGTCTTGGCTCGGCGCCTGTGGCTCAAGCGGCTAAGGCGCCAGCCACATACACCTAAGGTGGCGGGTTCGAATCCCCAGCCCAGGCCTGCCAAACAACAATGATGGCTGCAACCAAAAAATGGCCAGGTGTTGTGGCAGGTGCCTGTAGTCCCAGCTACTTGGGAGGCTGAGGCAGGAGACTCGCTTGAGCCCAGGAGTTGGAGGTTGCTGTGAGCTGTGATGCCATGGCACTCTACCCAGGGGGATAGCTTGAGGCTCTGTCTCAAAAAAAAAAAAAAATTGGGTCTTCTAATTTATCAACATGGTATATCATCTCATTTATTTAGGTCATATGGTTCTTAACTGGGGATAATTGTGCATCACAAGGACCATTTGACAGTATCTAGACACATTTTTTATTACAATAATTGCAATTCAGGTTGAGAGTGATACTAGCATATAGTAGCTAAAGGTCAAAGATACTTGTAAACATTCTACAACGCACAGAACAATTCCCACGACAAAGAATTATCCAACTCAAATGTCAATAGTGTTAGGGTTGAGAAAGCCTCATTTAACTCTTCTTTAATTTCTCTTAGGACAGTTTTGTTTTTTGGTGAAAACAATTTGCACATCTTGTAAAATACTTACCCCTAAATTCTTCATATTTTAAATAGTTTTGTCTTTAAAATTTCAATTCTGATTATTTATTGCTAGTTTATATTGATTTGTCTATTTAACCACGTGCCTTATAGCCT